TTTAGCCTCCCACACAAGGTGGTACCTTATTTTCCTACTTGACAGATGCAACTGTCTTTCAGGTTGCAAAGGTCGACAACAGGCTACACAATGGCTGGACACCCACTCCAACCCGGGCTGGCTTCGAACTCATGACCTTTTGGTCAGAGTGTTCTTAATGCAGCTGACACTCAGCCAGCTGCGCCACAATCCCGGCGCCACAATCCCGGTGGATGTTTGGGTGGATGCTGTTAAGATGTTCCAGGAACCTGTTGAGTTCTTCTTCTCCATGGCTCCAAATAGTGAAAGTGTCATCCACATATCTGAACCATATAGTGGGCTTATTGGTTGCTGTTTCAAGGGCTTGTTTTTCAAAGTGTTCCATGTAGAAGTTAGCTATGACCGGGCTGAGAGGGCTCCCCATAGCTACTCCATCTTTCTGTTCGTAGAATTCATTGTCCCACTGAAAGTAGCTGGTGGTGAGGCAATGGTGAAACAGAGCTGTGATGTCTTCTGGGAACCTCTGGTTGATGAGTGCCATGGTGTCTGCTACCGGGACCATGGTAAATAGAGACACCACATCAAAGCTGATCAGTTTGTCGTTGGTATTTAGCTTGAAATTGCTGATTTTTTCAATGAAGTGGGCTGAGTCCTTGATGTAATGTGTAGTGAGCCATTCTATTTGATCAACCAAGCCTAATAAGTAGCTCTGGCCTAAGCAAAATTAGATGATTTTATGTAGATCCTTTAGGTGTAAATGGATTCATTTATAACAATGGCAAATGGATTGTGAGTTGAATTGAGTCTGGTCTAATTCAAAATTAGTTCATTCCCTCAAAACTCTCACTTTGATTACTATCTGGATCTGCAAATAGTTGAATGGAAATTGATTTGCTGATTATGAGTTGGACTGATACTCATTCAGAGCAACTACAATATTGATCAAAATGGTTTTGCATTAGAGTAACCAATAAAATGTTATGAGGGAAAAAAATGACTGACATCAAGTGCTGAGTGGACCAGAATTCTGTCTGAAGTCCTGTTGGGGTAGAAGGAAAGAAAAAAAAGTGGTGCTGTTAATTGTATGACATATTTCCAGAAGGAGCCATTGCCCTTTCCCATCATTATGTTGTCAATGTTTTCCATTTGTTCACAATCCTTTTTACTTAGTTTCAAAGCACAAACCTTCTTACAGAAGTTTTTTGTAATACTGTAACAAGAATATCACTAGTCTGGAGATATTATGTATGAATGTTTTAACAGCAGGTAAAGTTTGCCTAATTAGCTCATATCATTCCAATATTACAGATAGCTTAGATTACAATATAACCCCTGTATCCACTGAATCAGTATCAAGGATTTCATTTATCCATGTCTGGCAAAATATGCCCTCTCTAACATTTTTAATGTGATTCTATGATATATTTGGTTCAGAGGTACATCATTTCAGTGGGGGTTTCTATTATCCATGGTTTCAAGTGTCAATCAAAATTTTGCAAACATATGCCCTTCAGATACTGATTCAGGTCTCATTCTCTCCCTCTGTCTCATTCACTCACTTCTTATACTTTTACTTTCCCAGTTTAGTTGCACTCTTAAACAAAGAGGTTTGTTAAGATTTCTGTACCTATTTCCTATTGTGTAAGGGAAAAAAGTTAAATCTTCATGAAAGAGAAAATGAGCCCCCTTGAGTGTCCCTCTGTTTTCACATTAGCACATAGCAAGGTCTTTGCCAAGTTGCTCTCTGACTGACTGCTGCAGATGCTCTTTCTCAAGTATTCAGAGTCAGATCTTTAGTGCAAGTCTTCAGGGACAAACAATAGCACCTGTTCCTCACAAGATATCAGGCCAGTTAGTCCATTCATGTATCTTTAATGAAGCTCCAGGGCAGATGGCAAAAATAAAAAGGCATCATCATCAAGTTAGCTGAGGAAACAGAGAAAGAGGTGTTGACACAACAATGCATGACTTTTTTATGAATAGAAAGAAAAGAGAGTCTTTCTTTGACATCTGCTGGTGTCATGATTTTCAAAAAGACTGCTGGAACAGAGAAGCAATTAACCTTTCTGAGAATATACATGATTTGATGAAACTGGCTATCCTCGTGCCCCTAAATCAAGCAGTATAAAGTATTGGGGCTACCTTAGCAAAGTTTATTTCAAATTTACCTAGAAAAAGTGCTAATTTCTTAGGTCAAACATCCATGTGTTACATGTGATTTTAATAATGTTTAAAATATGTATTTATTTATTTTAAAAAAATGTTTATTTTTTGCCCTTCTCACCCAGAAAGGGACTCAGGGCAGAGCACAACATGCTAATGGCAAACATTCAATGCCAGGACATAAATACAGTATAACCATTAAAATCATTTATCTCAACTTTAAAATCCAGCATTTAAACCATGGGTATTTGACTCCAGAGCTGGCACTGTCTAGTTCATGCCTTGCATGTTTAGCTGGGAGCAAGAAATTTTTCTAGACTAAATATTTGTTTCTGATGTTTGAAATGTTTTTGACTCCTTTTAGCATAAAAGAAGGACATGGGGATCTCCTTAAATTTTGTGGGCTTTGTATCTCAGGCTTCCCTTTTTAGCCTTCTGGAATACACAGAACTGTACCACTGCCCGCATCCTCTATTTTTTGTTTTAGTTCCTTTTTTCCCTTGCGATGATATTTCAGAGAGCACACTTTCTGTGCTTCCATATCCATAAACATGATGATGTTGTATTCTGGTAGAAAAGGTGAGGAAGGTCTTTACCCAGTCATTCCTTCCGTGGTATTTTAGTTCTGATACAGAAAAAAATTGAGTAAAAAAAAGTGAAGATTCTGTCAAGTCAATAGCCTCTCTCTGACATTTTAGCATAGCTAAATCACTGCCTATAGTAGCAACCAATAAACTGGACGAAGAATAAATAAACATAATGACAATCATGTCAGACAGTGAATTTAAGTGAAGAAAAGGGAACGTGAGCAGCTAGATCAGTGGTTCTCAACCTGGGGTCCCCAGATGTTTATGGCTTTCAACTCCCAGAAATCCTAACAGCTGGTAAACTGGCTGGGATTTCTGGGAGTTGTAGACCAAAAACATCTGGGGACCCCAGGTTGAGAACCACTGAGCTAGATGGTAGTGTCTCCCTCTTTTCCATTTCTACTCCAGATTCATTCAATAAATATTCCAGTCAGTGGAACAAGCTTCTATAAAGGCCTATTTCATTCACATTATTTTTCCTCCTTGTTATCTTGTTTCTTCTTGTGCCATCCCAAAAACCAACAGGAATATTTTACTATAATAACTGCAAGCTGACTCTTTCTTATTTGGACTTTAGGAGTTTTGTGGGACCCTGGAGGCATTTGTTTCAGTTTCCACTCTAAAACGCTTGAAGTTAGGGTAAATCACACTTTATCCACTTTCTGTATAATACCATATTTTTCCATACCCAAATCAAAAAATTATGTTGATTATTCAGGGAATCAGTGGGAAAAATTATCATACAAGAAACTCAGTAGTATTATAAAAAGTTGATACTGGGCACATGGGAATCAACTTCAATTTAACTAAGTAAAATATGTCACTACCAGAGAGAACTGGGCTTACCTCAGCTAAAATAAAAGAAATAGCTGCTCACAGCTAGATTCTTTCACGCCCGAGTGCCATGGCAGTAATTGCACAAAGACCTTTTTATTATAAGTTGATTTTCCTGAGAAATGGATTCCGAAAAATACTGTAAAGTGTTTATATTTTGTGTGACCTTTATTAACCTACATCATAGGGCTTTCCCCCCAGAGAAGAGTTGTTGGTAAATTAGCTCTCTTAGAAGTACACACACGGTAGCCTTTCTGGTCTGTATCAGACATCGGGAGAGAAACATGGATATGACAACAAAATTTGGCAGTATTTAAATGGTGTCATAGGTCAACATAAGGATTTTTAACCATACAAAGTTTTCCTCAGAATCAGAACAAAAAGAAAATGCTTGAAAATTCATGTTGGCTTTAAAATAGCTTTTAAAATGACTTTTGTTTTCAATAAACGAAAGGGAGCATTTTTATATTTTCTAGCTATAATTCTATAAGAAAGTTTGTGTTCAATTAGATACTAATAATCATAACAATCATTGTATTTTTTCAGGGTATAAACAAAAGCATGCAATTCAGTTTGGTCCTGATACAACATAGCTATTATAAATTAAACATTTTGGGACACTAAACAGTTAATTTTAAGATTAGTACATTGGTCCCAATCTGCCCAGTTCTACCTGCTGAAGGTGAAATATGATCAAAGTATTTAAATGTTTCTCTTTTTGCTTTTTTGCTTGTTTATATTTTTATTTGTTTGTTTTTGTGAAGATCAAATGGGATTTGATATTGTGGGATTCATTCAGAAATGCTCTCTGAATATACCAATCCATAGATATCAGGCTACATGATAGCACTTCAAGCCAAATGGTTTAGGTAGACAAGCAATTTATATGTTACAAGTGAAGCATGTACAGCAAAGGATATTCATTTAATTGGGACTACTAGATTCTTTAGTCTTGCTTTTTAAGAACTTCATCTAAGGAAATATTTAATAAGCCATATTAATATTTTGAAAACATTGAAATACTTGCAAGCACTCAAAATACAGCACAGTTCAGATAACAATGAATTAAAATCTGAGTTATTACACACGCTCACACACACACACACATTTGAATGCAGGACAAACTAAAACTAAGAAAGCGCATATGAAAAAAAAATCCTCTCACAACTATCTTGTTTTACTGCAACCCAAACAGAGAGATTTAAAAAAGCAAGGCAGAATAAGAAAAAGTACCTGTGAATAAAGCTGTTGCACATTTGACACTGATGGAGAGCAATGTTAGCATGGCCTTTGATGTGATAATATGGAATTGGTAAGGGGTATGGTAAGGATAAGGTTCGATGGGACTCTGTGAACACAAGCAAGCTCTCAGTACTAGAGAAGTATCTGTCAGGACAAATTTGTGCAATTTCTGATCAGAGATTCTCTTCTGTTTAGCAGGTTCAGGGTCACATGCCTCCGCTCATGATCCCAATTTTTCCACACGACCAGCGGACACTGGCAGCGGCGGCTGCAGCCCAGCAGGGATTCCTTTTCCCCCCAGGAATAACTTACAAGCCAGGTAAGTGGATGGGGACACAGAGCTATTTGGTATGTTAGGAAATCATCTATGGCTATTCTTGAGATCTAGTTTGGCAGGTGATCTATTTTGGCGATGCACATTTAGGTATAAAGAAGGGCACATTTGTATGTATTTATTAATTTTGCAGATCTGGGTTAAAATTTCTCCTAGAGATACCCAGGGAATTGGTTGTGCGAGACTATATTCATTTTATTTCTGTGCACCGTGAAATCATTTCCTTTGAATTTATTGACTCACTTCCCTGCCAATTTGCATTTGAGAGCAGCCCAGTTCTTTATAGGAAGGTTACATATATCCCTTTTTTAAAAGGTCCTTTCTCATCAGCATGTACACATACTCATCTTTTGTGCAAACCTTCTTTATAATTAGAGATAAAAATGAAGACCGGTATGATTTAATTTGTGTTTTTCAAATATGCAGCATTTTGTATGATTTTCATCTAAATAACAGAGGTTTCAGCAGTTCAGCAGCAATCATCAATTCAGGCTTGTAACAGGTCATGCAACTTCACAGTGAGAGATGTTTGGAGATGATTTAGCAAATGTTATGATTTCTTTCTTTATTCCTTTGAGTTTACTGGGCTTCTGGGGAATTCAATTAAGGATATAATGGTTTGAAGCTACTTTCAGAGTCTCCTTGTAAACAGAGCTTTAAATGTTTAAAGCCATGTTAGCAAAGGAATTCAGGGTAAGAAGATATTTAAGTAAATAAAAGTCAACCTTATTTGAATATATGTGTACATTCTTTTACTGTAAACCGAGACCACAACTCAAAAGCAGGAGCTTACTCATTAATCTTCTCCACCTTTAATTAATACTAAAACAAATTTAGTATCAGTATTTTTTATGTTAAATGTAAAATTTACAAAATAATACTTGGAGTCAATATTTACATTATTTAGATAGTTCTGAAGCAAAACCCTATATGTTAGAATGTACACTGTATATTAAATATAATTTAAGTTAAAATAAACATATTTTTAGGGAGGATCAGTAAGATTTTATGCAAAATTATTTCAATTTGTTTCCATTTGCTCTTTCAGTCTTAACTTCATAGAATATATTTGTGGATAATTAGGTATGACAGCTGATAATGGTCTGGGAACCAGAGTGGCCATTGATAACTTTTTATTGAAAAGACAGTAATTATATCATGAAGTTGTCATCATAGTATAATAAAACCAGTATTAAAGGTGATCAAAATTTCTTACCATGTAGAAATACACAATCAAAGCACACCTGACAGTTGGCCATCCATCCTATTTAAAAACCTCTAGAAAAGGAGACTCCACCACATTCTGAGGCAGCACATTCCACTGTCAAACAGCTCAAACCATCAGGAAATTATTCCAAATATTTAGGTAGAATCTGTTTTCCTGTAATTTGAATCCTTGTTCTCTGTCTTCATCTCTGCAGAAGCAGAAAACAAGCTTACTCCCTCTTCAGTAAGGCATCCTTTCACATATTTAAACATGGCTATCATGTCCCCTCTTAATCTTCTCTTTTCCAGGCTAAACATATCCAGTTCCCTAAGTTTTTCCTCATAGGAATAGTTTCTAGACCATTTTGGTTGGCAACTTCTGGACACATTCCTTCTTATATTGGGGTGACCAGAACAGGACTGAATACTCCAAGTGAGGTCTTACCAAAGCAAAATTGGGTAGTACTATTACTTCCCTTAATCTGTTGGTACAGCCTGGATTTGCATTGCCTTTTTAGCTACTGCATCATACTTTTGACTCATGTTCTAAGTGTAGTACCTTACATTTCTCCCTGTTGAAATTCATTTTTAAATGTTATCACAGCTCTTTGATATTAAGGTAAGTTTGAATTCTGATTCAGTCTTCAAATTAGCTACATCTTCTAATTTAGTGTCATCTGTGAAATTGATAATTTTGCTCTCTGTTCCATCATCTAAGTCACTTATAAACATGCTGAATAGCATTGAGTCCAGGAAATGACCTTATGGCATCTCATTAGTCACTTCTTTCCTAGATAGAGACATTGGTAAGTACTAGGCTTGTGCGATCAATGAAAGAAATATTTCAATACTCATTACAAAATTAAGGGATGAGGGAAAAATCAGTGTTTCCAAAATTGGATGGGATCTGTATCATAACTATAACAAGTTAAATAGTTTTTCATTACTTTTGTTAAGTAATTCATTGTGCCAATGGGGAAACTTCAGGGGTGCCTTTCTCCCTCATTGTTAGAGCTATCGGCATGAAACTTGCTATGATTATAGAACACATTTCCCATCAAGTTTCAGAGCATTTCTCTGATCCATGAATTCTGGGGGAATTTTCAATTTTTTTACAAACTTAAAAAACCCCCACAAGAACTAACGCCTTGAATTTTGTATACAATTGACACAAGGTAACAGGGGTTAACCCCAGTTTCAGAAATATTAATTCATCTACTGATTTTTGGGATTTCTTAAATTTTTTGACAGAAATGTTTTTTTGAAAAAAAGACACAACCGCTATGTCTCTCATATTAACCAATAGAACTTTGATTTGGGGGTTTCTTCCCAGCCCAGCACTGATTTACTTTCTTGTATTGAAGTATCAGCCTGTCCTTTGCAGATTCAACAATTTATTGGAACTCTGGCTGGGACATATCTCTCCCCTATCCTAATTGGGGCCTTCTGGTGCTGAGCAGAATTCTGGGAAATGTAGTTTAGGGCAGGGCCTTTGAATTCTCTGCCATAGGGCTCCTCGTCTTCCCAAACTACATTTCCCAGAATTCTGTGCTCTCTGTCTCTTTCCCAACTCACTCAGCTTTGTCCTGCCCTGCTGCTTTCCTCTTCTCGTGGCAAGAGGCTCTTAATTTAAAGAGGAATTGCAGCCTTTTTGGCTTCCTCTCACTTGTGCTGAAAATAAAACTGAATTTGATAGGCTTCTGAGCATTACAGAATTCAAATGAAAAAGTATTGGGTGAGTTTTGATTCTTAAGTTTTTGCATGAGCACCCCTCCTTGTGTTTCTTAATATCTGTTTGTATGTACAAAACTTACATGCTAGATACAACTTACTAATTAAAAATGAAGTTTTGTCTACCCTAGTAAGTCCCCTTTGGGTTTGATCAGTCAACCAATTACCAGTCCACTTAAAAGTAGCATTGTTTCTCCCATATTTTACTAGCTTAGTTCCCAAAATAAAATGGAGGACTTTGTCAAAGGCCTTACTGAAATCAAGATATGCTACATCTACAGCATTCCCTTCATCTACCAAGCTTGTAACTCTATCAAAAAATGAATAAGATTAGTTAGGCAGGACTTGTTTTTCAGAAACTCATGATGACTTTCTAAGTGCTTTAGTCATCTGCTCAAGGATCTTTCCTGGTATTGATGTCACACAGACAAGACAGTTATTGTTAAGGTATTCTTCCTTTCCCTTTTTTTTTTGAAAAAAAGGACATTTGACCTTCTCTAACATTTTGGCCTAAAGCCTGGATTCATTGCCCTATTGATGTGGAAGCCACTGGAATTGAACCTTCGAAATTTCAGCAGATCCCCATTTCCCTCCTCCATATTTGGTACCCCAGGCAGTATGGAGGGGAATTAAGCATAGGAAATTTCTGTTCCCATTGAGTTCTTCATTCTTTACAAACATCCATGGGGATAAATAAAGCAGCTCTTTACTTGGCTTGATTTAGGCTAATATTGTCTGTTTGGAAATAGGGTCTCGGGTGGTGGTCTTCTACAACTTGCTATCCAATCCTTTTGTTAAAACTGAAAATACCAGGGATTGAAACTGTGTCATTCTGAACACCAAATCACGATCCCTTCCTTTTACTGCTGTGTTACACTTTTCTGAGATTTTGGATCCCCAAGCTAGCAAATATCAATCATGTAAGTGATAACATTTTTTAAAAAACTAGTTAGCATACTTTTGAATATTGTATAGTGTTTCCATCAGAGCAAGTACTAATTGATAAATCTGGGCTTCATATATCACTTAATTAATTTTTATAGACATTCCTTTGGTATTTATCGCATGTACTGAATTAATTAAAACTTTAAGGTGCTGTGCCACTCAAATTACTGTTGTGTCTGCTGACTCACATGCACTTGAGAATTCTCTTAGGATACATTGTTACAGAGGTTGAATCTTAGTTAAATCAGGTTCAATGGATTTGAATGGGCTGAGCAATTACTATTAGTTACTTTGACTCTCTGCTAGCTTGGGAAAAGCTGTTAAGAGAAAAACATGATTTCTTTGCCAGTGGCTTTGCCAATGGATGGTTAATTTAATCAAACATGGGGCTGAAGTGTCTGGAAGAAGACCTCCTCATTACAATCCCTAAATATTCTTAGACAGAGGATTTGGAGGCCCTGCTGAATGAGGCAACCCATGCTTTAGGGAATGAGGAAAGACTGAACAGAGTGCTCTGACAAAGGCCAATCCAATAAACAGGAAATAAGAGAAGTAGCCTTATTCCCTGTAGATTTCATTCCTACAAGGGTGAAAAGTGAGTCAGGAGGTCTCTACCTCATTAAAAATAACACTTAGGATTTTTCTTAGGAAAATGTACTACAAATAACAAGTTTGAGGCTGGTAATCTGAGCAGAACTAACCAGAACTTTTTGAACATGTAGTGTAGAGCTTAGGTCAACTGCATTTGCTCACAAGTTGTGCACATTGGAAGGAATGTGTGAAGTATGCACTGTACATGAATCCCTGGCTACTTCACAACATCAATTTGACAAAGCTGGGAAGCTGAAAAGACTCATTTACAAAACAAGGAATGATGAGGGATTGTTTCTCACCCCCACCCTTTTCTTTCTTGAGCCATTCTCCCAGTAATCAAGACTGTTACATACCTATACCTACAATGAACCTGTTCTGACATGTTTTGTCTATCTTCATAAAATTAAAAAAGAATAGGTCCTCACGCACACATTCCAAATCTCGAAACAAATTTGGGGGGGGGGAGGGAATGCTACAACATGTTGAGTGATAGATTGCCAAGACAGCTACTGAAAAACTCCTTGATCCATTTTTTTTTGTGTTCCAAAAGTTGGGGGATGCATCTTCTGTAATTAAAAATATTAAATTTTCACCATCGCCCCTCCACTCATAGTTTCAGCACAACAAACATGTCCCTACTTTATTACTGTCAGGAAAGCATTCCATTTGTATGAAGTGTCTTGCTTTGTTCTCTGGTGGATAATGCTGTTATATAATGTAGTGGGATTATTGTAACCATGTTCTGTTCACTTTCAACTGCTCAGATTTAATCCTGGAAGGGACAACTATAGGACAGAGATGAGGGTGGCAAGAAATAAGATGATTATAACCTTGCCACTAGCCAAAGGGGAAACTATTGTCATTGGGTGAGCTGGAAACACTATAGGGTGTGGTACAGACTTTAATAAATTAACTTGAAGGCTTATATATTATCTATCCAAGCGATTTCAAACTATGGAAGCATGACAGCTGTATATGAAAAAGGAGTGCAATCGGGAATTCTTTTAGAGTTAAATATATATCTATTTAAAATATGTTTGACATGGAAAGTGTTTAGTACAAATAAAGCAACTGATATTGAACTTACAAAAAGAAGGGGATGGTATGGGGTGGGTGTTTTATGGAACAGGGATGAATAATTCATAATATTTAAAGAAAGAATGCCTTGGAAATGTTTGTCAGTGCATTCTCAGCTTATCTGTATGCACTTATTTTTCTCCTATTTAAAGCATCATTAATTCAATATCCTTGCGACTTCTTTTTTAACAGAAATAAAAATGTATATTTACTGAAGAAACATTATTTAACTTTGATGAGGATACTATATATTCAGATAATTTTGCCCAGTGTTCAAGGAAGATAAGTAGAATTATCTTGTCATAAAGAGAAGAGAGCTTTATACTTGAGGAAAACAATTTAGTTATTTTAAAAACAACAAGCCAATGCAGATTAAAATCAGCTTCATAGAAGGAGAGGGGAATATGATAACATTTTATGAATTTTGCTCCATAGGACATCAGTACAATGTAGGTTAGGAAAGGCATTGTAGCAGTGCTCCATATGCAACCAGAAGCCAATTGTTAGTGGACTGTGTACAAGCACATACTGTGCTCAATGGTCTGATGAGGTATTATGGATATGATGCAGAGAGACCTTGTGGATTAGAACATCACAATTCATTTTAAAAAGTGAAAGCAACTTAATACAGTGAGCTTGCCTGAGTACTGTAGTGCTTTGGGCAGTAAGCAAAAGAAGAGTGTTTATGAGGGTTTTAGACGTTGCTGTGTTTGAGAACTGAGCTGGGGATGTCTGTGAGTCTCTCTGTGTGTATGCTGAATTCACAATTCCCTGGCTGCATTATCTGAGGAGGATTCTTCTATGCCTACACCTACAGTTATACATGCATGTGAAAAAGTTCTGGCAAAGCAGTTTTGTTATTAGAAATGTGAAAGATGTTTAGAGGAGCTAAAAGAACAGCCTAAAGGTAGGACATAACACTGACTTGAAATTAATCAGTGAAGTGATAGTCTATAAAGCGTCACTATTGTATAATTTTAACTAATCATTTTTTAAAAAATGTACCATATTTTCTGGCGTTTAAGATGACTGGGCGTATAAGACAACCCCCAACTTTTCCAGTTAAAATATAGAGTTTGGGATATACTCGCCATATAAGACTACCCCTTTTCCAACTCACACCAAATAAAAAAATCTGATTTGATTTCAATATGGTAATTTTCCTATTACCATACCTCCTTCTCTGCCTCTCAGATCTCACACATGCATGCAAGATCTGAGAGGCAGAGAAAGAGGTACGGTAATATGATATGGGAGGGGGTGGCAGACGAGTAAAAGAGGTGTGTTTTTCTGGGCACAGTGCCACTCTATTTCTTTTTTCCATACCCTGGGTGTCCCAGACGCCTGCAGCTTGCTCTGCCCTTCACTTTCACCTTCCTGGTGAGGCACCCCCCCACCTCATCATCGGGACCGCATTAAGTCACTTCTTTCCACAAATCCTGGTGAGTGGATTTTCTTCTACTCCTTTCATACGGTCACCAAATATGGTGAGGATGCGACCATGGCCATTTTTAACTCCCCCCACCATATGCGGCGACCACAGATTCTCCAGACTAGCTCGGAAGTTTCAGCACCCACCCTATAAGATGACCCCCGGCATATAAGATGTCCCCCAACTCTTGAGAAGATTTTCCTGGGTTAAATACTAGTCTTATAAGTCAGAAAATACAGTAAATCCTCTTCTTAACATACACACACTTATTCAGATCGGCCCATCTTTGCATTAAAATGTTGATTGTTATAGATTTGGCCAATAGTTGGTACAATATGAAAAGACGTTTGTTAAAACAGTCAAGTACCCTCTTACTTTAGGCAGGCCTATGTAACCTGTTGCCCTCCAGGTTTTTTGGACTTCAGCTTTCAGTATTCCTGACCATTGGACAAGCTGTCTAGGGCTTCTGGGAGTTGGAGTCCCCAAAACCTGGAAGGCCACAGATTGTGCAGGCCTGTTTTAGGGTGATCCTATATTGTTTATTAGCACTGCAACCTCTGCATTCTCTCAGCGTGAATTCTGAACACCTTAGGGATTCTCTCAGGAATGCTGCCTAATGTATTGATTGTACTATTCAGTTATTTGCACCAATTTTCTACATGTAATTTTTCATCATAGTAGAGGAGACCCATCCTCCTAGAAAATCTAGATTTCAATAGCAGAGATGCCAGTGAATGCAAGATAGGGGTGGAAAGCAATGGGGGAGACCAATGTGACAAAGACTGTCTATGTAATTCTATCAATTGTTTAGGTAAACAATATATGATTTCAACTGGTTGTGCTGACCTGGAAATGTTAGGGCTAGGAAACATGTGTTCTTCTCCAACTCTTGCTGATTGTAATTCCCATTACCCCTAGCCGACATAATGTAATCGTGAAGAAGTGTAGTCCAAAACAGTGAAAAGGTGTGGTTCCAAAACACTTGAACAGCCTTATATTTCCTGCTTGAATTGGTGAAGGATTTGAGGTTGCTCAAGTGTTTGATTGAAGCATTAAATATTCTGAATATTTTCCTTCGTGGAAGTGGTAGGCTGAGATCGCAAGTACCCCCCACAAACATACTGAATTTTTATGCTTACTGGGGAATCTTGGGATCTGACTTCATGTCCTGGGTGAGAAATCACTTTTTCTACACACTACTTCCTCAGTTTGGAGAAGAGAGGTGGAGATAGGTGTGGATTTCAAAGATGAGCAGAATCAAGACAGACAACTTGCTTGTGGAAGGTGGCACTTGAAAATCTTAGCATTCCTGCTGCAACTGTGCACTCCCTCTTTAGTGCAGGTGGCCTCATAATATTAAGCTAAACAGTACTTCTCATTTGATTTTTAAAAATACAATTCCTATGCAACACCAAGTAGATAATGATCTCATGAGATTGGAAAATTTACTGGAAATCACCATGGTGTTGGACACATTTTTAATTGCGGTATTCTACCTTGTAGAACAGTGGTTCTCAACCTGGGGTCCCCAGATGTTTTTGGCCTACAACTCCCAGAAATCCCAGCCAGTTTACCAGCTGTTAGGATTTCTGGGAGTTGAAGGCCAAAAACATCTGGGGACCCCAGGTTGAGAACCACTGTTGTAGAAGGATGTTAGGTTTGTCTATAATCAATTTTGTCCTTTGGGATAGATGAAAATTTCAAAATGAAACCATTCTCAGTGACAACCTTGGTTTCTTTAAAACAATGTTTCTAAAAATGCCAAGCTTGGAGAGTATGGAGTTACCTAAAGAAGGAGTGCCAAGGATCAGAGCTATACAACACCCAGACCACATGCAAACTAAAAGCATGACCATTAATCCTATTTTATTGCTATTAAATCATGGAGAAAAATATGTGTGCTCCTTTATCCTCATCTTAGTTCATCTGCAATAACCTGAGTTTCAGTGCAAAAATAGTTTGCACTCAATTAAATCAGCAGGGGGAGATGAGAAGAAGATATGAAATGCTCAGGCAAAAGGAAACTGCTGCAACCTCTCCAAGATTATATGTTCTTTCTCATTAATACCTTTTACCATTTTGTTCACACTCTGATGTTGCTTGGCAACATACATCCTGGTTTTTATGTGTGAAATGTTTGAGGGTGTGAGATGCCTGCTCTAGGAAGTATTCCCAATATGCCTTGCTTTTATTTTCCAAAAGGGAGAGAAATAACGTTTTTGAACATTAAAAGAGGAGCTCTAGTTTTTTCTGGTTTCAATGGAGGTCAGTCCAATGAAGCTGATGATGGGAGCAGTGGGTCAAATATTGGGTCCCACACTACCTGAAAGTACAAAATCCAGGGGCCCTTTCACACTGCATAATTATAGCTTGATATCTTGTCTGGTTTTTCAGGGAGGGTCAGACAGGTGTGATTTTGGTTCTTCTCTTTTGTTAGTATGTCATTGCAAGCTAGTCCTCATTGCCATATGCATGAAATAGGGGCAAGGTGGGATGGTTGAGTTCAAAAGAGTTGAGCTTTATGCTAAGGGCTCATCGCAACAAATGACTGAACTCAAGACCAAAAAGGTACTGAAAAAGAAGTTTCAAACACAACAGATGCATAGCATCTGACAAGGCTTGGCCTTGGTGCCCTACTCTATGTCACGTATCACCTGAAATATTTCTAAACATGCAATTATTTTTTAGGGTTGCTGTGCTTTCTGATCTGTAATCAGAAGGAACATGCTTAGGTCTAAAACATTGCAATTTATGTTTTGCCAGTTTGCCTACTAGCTATCTGTTGAGCAGAAGTTCCAAGGGAGAGCTGCGAGTCTGTGCCCAACAACCCCTTTTTGTTTTTGCAGATGTTTAGGCTTAGAGCAGTGTGGTGGAGCTCAGGCCTTGTTTGTACTTGTCTGCTGCTGTTCTCTGCTCATTGTCTAAACCTGCATGCATTGTTCTCCCCGACAGGTGATAACTATCCTGTGCAGTTCATTCCGTCAACAATGGCAGCTGCTGCTGCTTCTGGACTCAGCCCTTTACAGCTCCAGGTATGTGCCAGAACAAAAATATGTGGGCTCAAAGCCAATGTTTTAGTGGAAAACTGCTAACCAGCTGTATGCTAAGTAAAGGCTTGAATGTTAAGTAATTTTTAAGCACAGCCCCAAAAGGATTAACACCTTACATGCTTACCATGTTGCAAACAGAACAGCGTGCTGTCAGGTTTGATGCTGGGAAATACAGCCAACTTTGTATTTGATATCAATTAAGTTAATAATTGTTAACACAATCCAGGCTTTGTTGAGAATTTTTAATCTTATTGATTTTACTGAGAGAATTAAGCATGTATTTAACTTTTTGGTATCAAAAAGAATGGGAATACAAAACTACTTAGTTGTGCTGAAAAGTGCTTGTGTTTCTGTCTATACAACATGTAGCTATTTAGTAGGAGTCACGTTTAGAACATTTTAATTCTCTTAATTTTTTTCAGAGTATTGCCTGTTCTACACTTTTGCAATCTGAAGCAGATGCCTGAATAAATGTATTTTATCCTTTGGTGGTGGTGGTGGGGGCTTGGTGAAAACTGTTTCATATAAACTCCACACTTGCAGCTTCTGTATTTATGGAATCTCAGTCTTTCCATGCGTTAAGTTGGTTGGATGCCAGCAGCCATCAGGAGTCTGAGTATGGTCCCTTGCTAGGTCATTTATTTATTTTTGTCATAGGGGGAACTAAATGTTGTGTGAAAATGATTTACACTCCAATTTATTATATAGCTTTTTAATATTCCCCAAGAAAAGGCACAATAGTATCAAATAATGAAGTAGCAGTCAAATGCTTATACAGGAGGTGTGTTTAGTCATCACGCTAGAGGTTTACTTCTTGGTCATTTAAATGATGGAGCTAATATGTCTTATGACTGTTTCCAACCAAAGGAGCAGCAGTGTGGTATGCGGTTGGTCCTGGCAAAAATTGCTGTGGTGCTCTAGAGGCAATAGGTTTATTCAGGCATTAGCTTTTGTAGACCAAAGATTACTTTATATCACAATATAGCAGTACCAGAGGATTTGATAATCCTGTTATTAATCAGTTATTCTTCGGGGCTGTATGCAGATGGCCTGTCAAGCCAGGGAACTTCGCAGATAATCCTTTGGGAGTAGTGCCTAGACTTTGAGGCCCCACTCCACACCTGGTCAGCACCTGAGTTGACTAGGAATTGGTGTGAACACACAGAAGGTCCATATTATGAACTGTCTTTTGTCTTCAACTATTGCAGACATCATAAGAAAGGACTAGATGTTTACCTGATACCCTTTACAATAATTTGCAGGAAGCAATTCTTGGTCAGAAATAGTACAGCGTGGCAATTAGTACCTCACTCTGGCCATCTGCCTGTGTATTTTAGGAAGTACTGTTCTGCAAGAAGATAAAGCTAACTTGTCTTCAATTGTATTGTAGGTATTGTAGTTATAAAACTCTTAGTCTCCCGAGGAATCCCCACAAGGATAGATGTTACAATAGCCAGGCATCTTTATGTCTTTATGTACATGACCAGCATGACATCTATAGCTTATGATTTTCAGTCCTTTGGACTATCAGACTGCTCAGAGATGGATGAAAAGACAATTTTTTGTAAATGTGAGTTGGATCCAGCTTTCATTCACCATATTCTCATTGGTATTGATTTGCTCTTGGGTAACTTTCTCCAATTCACTTTTACTGTACCTCAAGAGCCAAGGTGGTAAAGTGAGTTACTACAGTTCTGGAGATCAGGGTTCATATCCCTGCTCAGCCATAAAAATCCACTCACTGACCTTGGGCTAGTAAGCTTCTGAGGAAGGTAAAGTCATAGTCTTCCTGAACCAATCTTGCCAAGAAAATTCCATGATACATTGCTGTAAATCAGGAATTATTTGAAAGCATACAATAGCCCACAACATATTTGGATATTGAAACACTGTGAAATATATGATAGTTGTGACATATATGATTGCCTATGAGGAATCAGATCCTTATCTTGGCTACTCTTACTTATATATTACATGTAGTCTTGCTGTCAGGACCTCCCTGTTTGACCAGAGAGGTTTTTTTTTTCAACTAGGAATGATCAGCTCTAAATGGCAAGTCAAAGTCTTTTATCATAATACTACTCACTAAAAATGATTTCTTCTCTACAGTGTTTAAATGGGCTACACACCCACTCTCAGTGGTGATTACATACCATATGTATATTGGAGGAGACATATTTTTGGGATCTAATAGATGTGCCACATCATGGACAAGCACTTACGTTGCTTGATGGGTTTTCTCCTTGCAAACTCATTAGGGATATTTATAAGATTCTGTACATTGCTACATTGCCTCTTACAGCATTTTGGAGATGGTCATTAGACCTGAATGGGTAGAAGGTTGACCTCAGCAACTTCTTTCCTTATTGCATATTGATTTAATTAATAAAGTTGTGCCCTATGTGAAGTATGACTTTGGGGTCTCCTCTTCTTTCCCTAGTTAGAAGAAGACAATAACTAAGGTGGAACATTCATGCTGCACTGGACAATGTGGAAAGCTATTATCTGAAGCATGTTCTGAATGGCAACATACTAAGCTCAACTTTCAAGTCCTTATGACATACCATTCTGGAGATGCAAAATACTGGGTTTGGGGATGACTTTCAATAGAATTCCTGAGCCATTGCTAATACATTTCCTGTACTGAAAATATGACTTTGACACAGAAAACAAGTTTGTTATAATATTGGTGTAACTTTTGAACAGAAGACAAATTTTCTGTGCAGAAACAATGTTTCTTCTGAAAATTCTATTTCTTATGCAGAAAACCTCACACAAAACCATATACATTTTTGCACAGCTTAAGTCCTGAACAGTGGCTATTTAAGAATTAAATTTACAAAGATTTACACCCCTCTCACATATGAACAATGGTAGAAAAGTATACATAATTTGATCTCTTATCTATACTGAGTTTGTGATATGTTAAAATTATGGAATATGCACCACTTCCAGTCTGGATATCTTTCTGACATGTGAGCATTTTCAGATAGGAACATATTCAAACAATCTCCACTTTTGCCCCAAAAGAAAGTCTGACATGTCATATAAGAAGATTGTACTGAAAAACATTAGAACCTACTTTTTGTGAGGATTAATGAGAAAGATCAATAATAAAATTAGGGTTGGTATCCCTGTGTTCTCCCTGCATTGCTTTCTTATAATGCTACAAGTCTCATTTTTTTACTCTGGTGGTATGTTTAATCCATAGTTATTAAGTATTTGCATAAAATTTATGTCCATCTTAGTCTTGATAAGATCTACAGTATAACTCTTCAGGGATCGTTTCTCAGTCTTTCAGAGGATTTGTAGCAACCCTATTAAAGGAAAATCCCACCACAGCTTAGTAGACACACATCTGTCCCAGAAGGCTTAGCTACATAATGTCTCTTGTGAGGACTTCCCGTCATTTCTCCTTCCATCTCCCAAAGCTAAACAAGTCATGTTCCAGATTTCAGGGGAGGAAAAATGCTGGTAAAGAAAGAAATGTCACAGTTCTATCAACATCTGCTGATAAATTGTTGACAATGATAATGCATTGTAATTATGTGTGGAGTTATTCCTAAACAAAGTGATCTTTAGAAGTGTGTAGAGGGGAGGGGAAGACAGAACAGAGAGCATGTAAGTAAACCTATGGCCCCTACCTTTTCCCTGAAGTTTCTTGCGTAATTTGTCCTTCAGAGTTTATCGTGTAGAACGTTAATGAGCCTTGGCAAGTCTTCGGCATGATTGCAGCTGTGTGCTGGAAGACTGAAGGTTTTTTATCATGAACTGAATTAAACAACAACAATAACAAAAATTGTACAGCATGCTGTTTTACTCAGTACTCCTTCCCCCCCTTCTTTCCATAACTGTACACAAAGTAACGACCTTTTGTTATACCACAGGGTGCAGATCCAAAATACTGCTGAAGCATTACAGAGTTTGCCTCGGGGGTGCAATATTAGCAGAATGAAGGCCAAAGAATGCTATTTTTAGTTGAACCGTTTGGCAGATGGAGGCATGAATACTCATATATCTGAAGGTTGAGGGGTTTGAACCATTAATTTTGATAATGTATTTAACCCTGGGAACAATCAGAAACTGTAACTCTAAGGTTACAATGCTTTCGACCTTTAGAGAACAGAGGGCACTCAGTACAGTAAACAATATATTACATTTCTACTTATTCTAATTCTCTCACACATATAAATTTCAGGACGAAGCTGACATTTGCTTTCCTCAGCTATTTCCGTGCAGGCCCTGAAAGTAAGTTGAGAAGAATGTGAGCAAGGAGACTGTTGTAATGTGACGGTCATGTCAATATGGCCCTTCAACAGCCAAGATGTTAGACACAGCCTTTTATGTAGAAATATTATTCTTGAGAAGTTGTATTTCAGTCTTGTGACTTGTCCTTCAGTCCCCATCCTTGTTTCTAAATAAAAGTTAATTTAGGGTGTTCTTTCTTTTATGGAGTTCCCTGTATATTGCTGTCAGTTTGAAAAAAATATATTGGTGCAAGAGTATTGCCTGTCTTAGAAGCGATTTGGTCCCATGTTAGTCTCATGCCATGAGACATGGTCTACCTGCTTCTTGCCTTATGAAATGATGCATGCTCCTCTTCAGCAAATACAGCCGTTAAATATCACACAGCTTAAGTGTTCCTAATTAAAATATCTCCATGTGTCAGCATATTGGTAATGTATTATTTTAATCCATTTATTTTGTTTATGAAACGGTGACATATGTTTAGATTGTGAAATATATGAGCCTTAAAAATCACTTTATTGAAGAAAATTAATTCCTACAATGCTGTCTGGGTAATGTGTTCACTCACCCAGTCAGTCACTGGCGGGCCTGCCACTCTTAATGTTGCTTAGACACACTTTAACAGTTTTATCTGACATAACATTTCTCTGATGCAGTCGACAATAATAATTTCTTCCTGCAAATGCCTTTATTTGCAGCCTACCAAAGAATAAGAATTCTGAGAGTGGGCCCAG